GAAAGGGACAGACTCTGGGCAAGAGTGTGAAGACCAGGCGGGAAGAAAGAGGGGAGAAAGGACTCTTGCTAGTGGGCCAGGAGAAGGTGCCACATGGTTATGGATTAAGAGCTGGAGATCGCGGCGACGCAGTGGATGGTGCTGAGAACCGCGAGAGGCCTGCCTAGCCGAGCCCCGAACTTCTGTTCTTTTTCTTCTGAAAGACGGTACCCCTGACTGGCCTCACTGGCCTAACTGGGCAAAAGGGGGGAAGGCAGGACGGTGTGTGTGCTGGTGGTTGTTTTGAAGGGATTTTGAGGTTTAAAGGTGACATTTACGCATTAATCAAACCTATAAATACTTGTGAATAAATACTTCCTTTTCCTTTTCACCAAACTCTGCCATTCAGAGCCATAATTCTAAGGGTGGTGGGCAAAGGACCCACAACCGAGGGGTCCCGGGGAAGGAAGGTGTTGTTTCGATAAAAGCGTCTGGGCACCACCCCTCCACCGGTCCTTTTGTTCGGTAACACTATCAGCTGTGTCACCGCTACTTCCAGTTCTTAATCCAAACCCTCGAGGCACCTTCTCACGGCTCACTAGCAAGCATCCTTTCTCCTCTTCCCTTCCCGCACGGTCTTTGCGTTGTTCCCCATGGCATAGGGCGAACCATCTCCGAGCTCCCATGCTCACGCTCTGCAACTGGGGGAGTTGCCTACATGGCTTCTACGTCTTGCTTTCCTGCTTCCCAAAACCGCGTGGTCAAAAGCCTTGGGTCCAAACCCTGGCGTGAATCCTCCCCTGCAATCCCATCTCTTACTCCTTTAACAGGCACTGATACCAGGGGAGCTGCTGGCCTAGTTGCATCATTGGTTAAACTTCTGCAAACCTTCCATGTGAGCCTTGTTGATATGCAAAATAATCATCTTTGCATATGAGATCTGAAACCATCCTGCTGTTACTGACGTGCAAAATGACTCAATGTCTCTGCTTCAAGTCTCCCATCCCCAGGGCTACCAGCCTTGGGGGGTGGGGGGGCTGGGAGAATATCTTATATTTTTCTTGGACACCCCAAGTCCTGGATCCTGTTACAAGTCCCCTCTTTGCGGGGTTCTGGCTGTGCCCAGTTACAGTACATTTACTCAGCCATAAAAAAGAAGGAAATCTTACCTCTTGGGACAATATGGATACTCTTGAAGAGTATACTGCTAAATGAAATAAGTCACTCAAAGAAAAATGAATACCATATGATTTCACTTAAATGTAGACTCTAATGAACAAAATAAACTAACAAACAAAATAGGAACATTTTTTTTGATACATACATACAGAGAACAGACTGACAGTTCCAGAGAGGAGAAGGATTGGGAGGCTGGGAGAAAAGGTGAAGGGACTAAACAGAATCTTTTTAATTTTGACGTAGTTCCACTTGTTTATTATTTGTTGTTGCCTTTACTTGTGATGTCAATCAAAAAAATCATTGCCAATACCGATGTCAAGGAGCTTAACCCCTGTATTTTCTTTTAGGATTTTTTTATGGTTTCACTTTTTATGTTCAAGTGTTTAATCCATTTTGACTTATTTTTGTGTATGATATAAGCTAGATAAGGGTTCATTTTATTTTTTTGTATGTAATTTATACAGTTTTCCCAGCACAGTTAAAGAAGACACTGACCTTTCCCCATTAAGTATCTTGGATCCTTTGTTGAAAATTACTTGAGCATGTATGCATGAGTTTATTTCTTCAGTCTCCCTTTCGTTCCATTAATCTCTGTTCCTGTTATGCCAGTACCAAAATGTTTTAATTACTATTCCTTTATAATATAGTTTGAGATCAGAAAGAGTGGTGCCTCCAACTTTTTCTTTCTCAAGATTGCTTTGGTTATCCAGGTCTTTTGTTTCTGTACAAATTTGTTTGTTTTATTTATGTGAAAAGTGCCATTGGAATTTTGATAGGGATTGCATTGAAGCTACAGATTGCTTTGAGTAGTATGGATGTTTTAACAGTACTATTGTTTTCCTGTCCATGAGCACAGAACATCTTTTCTTTGTGACCTCTTAATTTTTATTTCATTAATGTCATGTAGATTTCAAAATGTAGGCCTTTCATCCTCTTGGTTAAATTTATTTCTATTTTATTATTTTTGATACAATTGTAAATATGATTGTTTTCTTAACTTCTCTTTCTGATAGTTGTCATTAGTGTACAGAAATGCAACTGACTTTTGTGTGCTGATTTTATATCCTGCAACTATATTGAACTCATTGGTTAGTATTGTACTAACAGGTGTGTGTGGGTGTGTGTGTGTGTGTAAACGTTAGGGATTTCTATACTGTCAGCCAATGGTCATTGGCACCAATTCAATGCCAACAGGATTCCCCAGTTTGGGGTAGGGTAAAGAAGGAAACTTTATTCAGTGCCAAGCAGCTCAATTGTGATACAGCACTGCTGTGAAAAAAAAAGATAAAGGAAAAGGAAAAGAAATATGCCTGTTAGGTGACCCCGGAGCCAGGCAGCCCTGGAGCCACATCCCTCCCCAGTTAGACAGCTCTGCTCCTTGCTGATCTACTTTGCTGCGCTCAGTGTTTGTCTGCATTATGCTGCTAAGATCTGCTTTGCTCTGTGCCAGTCTGCTCTGTCCTGCTTCAGAAAGACATGGGGCGGCAGACATCTCTGGTGTTTCAGCTCAGCTGGGAAATGCAGTTTTCAGGTTTCAGTGGAAAGGGAAACTGAGTTCTCAGAATCAGTGGGAAGCTGTCTAATGTGGATAGAAGTCCCTGCCCCTGGTCCCTGATGAATCTGTCCTCATGCAAATGAGGGCTCTATATCCTTGAAGTTTGATTGGTCCAAAAGGTGGTGTTTCAACTGGTCAGAATAGAGTCACTCTGGTTGGTTGAAGCTGCACAGCTCTGACGGAGGAAAAATGCGAGGGTTTCAGTTCTATTGGCTGATACAGGAGTCCAGGAACGCCTTGATGAGGGCTGGCTCAGATGTGAGAAACACAGTGCAGGCACGCATTAAGTGCAGGCTTCTCCCTGCAGTGCAGTTTGCATGAGAAGACCCTGTGTAGAAATGGTTGCTATGCTCTATTTTTTAAAAAGTTAGCCCATTTAGCCACCAGAAGCGCTTATTAGGTGCCTCATTTCTCAAGGTTCACAATACATAACACCATGTCATATGCAAACAAAAACGATTTTACTTCTTTGTTTCCAACCTGGATGTCTTATTTCCTCTTCTTGTCTAATTGCTCTGTATAGGACTTCCAGTAGTATGTTGAATAAAAGTGGTGAGAATGAGAATTTTTGTCTTGTTTCCAATCTTAAAGGACAATCTTTCAACCTTACACAACTGCGTGTAATGTTCATGTGATTTTTTTTCTGTTAAAATAATTGTTTTTATTTTTATATTTTTGTTTATTGTATTTTTTCCATTTTCACGTAGTTCTTTTATACTCTCCTCTTCCCCAAAATCACTGTTGTCCATATCCATGAGTCCTTTTTCCTTTCTGCTCAATCCCTCCGCCTCCCCTTATCTGTCACCCTGTCCTCTATCTATGAATCTGTCTATATTTTGTTAGTTCAACTTGTTCATTAGATTCTACATATGAGTGAAATCATATGGTATTTGTCTTTCTCTTAATGGTTTATTTCACTTAACATAATGTTCTCTAGATCCATCCATATTGTCACAAAAGGTAAAAGTTTATTTTTTATGGCCAAGTAGTATTCCATTATGCAAATGTCCCATAGTTGTTTTATCTGCTTATCTGATGGACATTATATGACTTTTATCCTTTATTTTGTTAATATGGTACCTCATATTGATTGTTTTTTAGATGTTGAGCCATCATTGCATCCCAGAGATAAATCTGACTTGATAATCGTATGTAATGCCTTTGAAATACTGTTGAATTTTTTGTTAATATTTTGTTGAGGGTTTTGAATTTTTATTTTCATCAGGGATATTGGCCAGTAATTTTCTCTTCTTGTAGTGTTTTACTGGCTTTGGTATCAGGGTAATGTTAGGCTCATAAAATAATTTCAGAAATGTTTTCTCCTTTTCAATATTTTTTGGGAGCATTTGAGAAGGTTTGATATTAATTCTTCTTTAAATATTTGGTAGAATTCACTATCAAGACATTTTTTCCTCTGCTCAAAACAGTTTTTCAACTCATCACTTTTGATTCCTTTAAGTGCTTTTGCCATTTTTGTTCCACCTCTTCCACATCAGCAAAATGTTTACCTTTGAGGACATTTTTCATACAGGAAAACAAAAAGAGTCTCTCGGGGTGAGAGCAGGTGAATAGGGAGGGTGGGGCATGGGGGTCATGCAGTTTTTGGTTAAAACTGCTAAACACTCATTGCATTGTGGGCAGATGAGTGCATAAATTGGCAAATGTGTTGAAAGAGTCTTCAAAAAAAATTCTCTGAAGCTCAACACAGCCTCTTTCAACAATGCCAGCTGGTACACTGATACAGATGGATTCCTAGAACATTCACCTAGCTGGGAAATCCTGTACTACAAGGGGTCCAGCTTCCAGAAGATAATTCCAGGTTTCTTTATGTGTGTGTGTGTGTATGTGTGTGTATAATCTGTTAGGTTTGTGTGGCCTAATATATATAATTCAAGTCTGTATTGTTTTCTGTATTTTGTTGAATAAGCTTTTTTCTTGTAGCTCAATGAGCTTCCTTTAAACAGCTGTTTTGAATTCTTTATTGGTTAAAACACTAATCTCCATGTTTTGGGGATGGGTTACTGGAAATGATTGTGATTCTTTAGTGGTGTCATTTTTCATGCTCTTGAAGTTTGTGTTGTTGCTATCTTGAATTTTTGTATTTGAAGTAGAAGCCACCCCCTCAAATCTTTTTTTTCTTTTCCAAACATCCTGCCTTAGGTTTATTTGTACAAAAAGCACAGGGGGACAACAGCCCCATGAAATCAGCAGCTCAGGGGTCAGACAGAGGCCCCTACTATGAAGCCTTCATGGGGACCTGGGCACTTTTGGGAGCCTGAGCCTGAGCTTAAACCTCAGCTTGAGTCTGAGCGGCAGCTGCAGTCATAGCCTGGGGAGTGGTCTGAAACTTGGCATTGGACTCTAATACTGAGACCTCTGGCAATGCAGGCAAGAGCACATTTCCCATGCTTGGGGTGAGCAGTGTAGGCAAGTCAACTGAGTTTGCGGCTGCCACCCTTTGGGATCTTGGGCTTGACCTGGGTTTTGCTAAGGCCTTGATAGCCCTGGCACATGTGCTCACAGCCTTGGCATTGTTGGCCTGCATCTTCTTTGGGCCTTTCTTCTTGTGATTCTTGGCAAAGTGCATGTTCCTTAGGAACTTGGGGTCTAACCCTCTTAAGAGATTCATATTTTTGTTATCAGGGTTTCTTGATGCAGTTTCTCTACCATTTTTGGGACTGTTTGTGTGTGGTGTGGTTCTTGGAATCGGCCCTATCTGTACTGAAGCCTGCAGCTCCCAAAACTCCTGGGGCCAGAAGAGCTCCTCTAGTCTTTACTAACCGCTTTTGGGAGAGAATTCTCTTCTATCACGCCTGCTGTAACAGAATGGAAAGCATATCGTCTTTTTACAATATTGTGCTAACCAGAATTAATTGTACTAACAAATAAGTCTGTTGGAACAAAAACAGGAATCAGATTTTTTGCAAACAACCTCTATATTAGCCTTTATAGTAGTACATTCCAGGGATCAGCAGTTCTAGTTTCTATCCAGATAGGAGCTGACCAACCTCAAGAATTCAGCTAATGCACAAGGTCTCAACAGCAAGACTTTGGTTGGAACCAGCAAGAACACTGCCTGGATGCCCCTACTTCACTTCAGTCTCCTTATAAAAGCCACCTGGCTTGATCAGAGATATTAAGATGGATTTTAAGACAGGAGCCCACCATCTTCTCAGGTCGTCAGCACCTGAATAAACCTCTTTTCTTTTCATCAGTACCTGTCGCACAGGTATTGGCTATGGCTGTGGCAAGCAACTGAACCTGCATTTGGTAACACTGCTAGTGTTTCTGAGGCTTTCTTGGACCTTCAGTGAGTGCACCTACTGCACACTTCTTGCTCCCTCTCGTGGCAGAACTTTGAAGCTTGTTCACCTTATCTTAACCATGCAATACACCAAGCTGGGTGCTAAAAGGCTTCCTTTTGTTTTCCCAAAGGTCATGCTAAAGACCAAGTTTGTGGTTTCTTTACAGTTTGCTGAGTCAGACAGGGTTTCTGCACTTACTCACTGCCTACCTGTTAAAGCTCTCTCTCTTTACGGCTGTTGGGAGCACCCACAGGGAGGTGGCTACAAGATGGGTGTGTGTTGAAGTGAGGTGGACTGAGTACTGGTGGTGCCCACAGCTAGTTGGGTTGATCCACAGGGGAGACACTCTCAGTAGCTCATGAGCAGGCTTCCTGATGGAGTTCAGGATACAGGTAGTAAGTTCTGCATCCCTTTAATGCCCTCTGAGGGTCCTATCTATTGTTTTCTCAGCCTCTACCTGCCCCATCTCCAACCCCATTTAGGCACCTCATGATTTAGGAGTCTGGATGGGAAGAGAGAGAGAAAAGCCTTTTTTTTTTTTTTTTTTTTTTTTTGGCAGCACACTACATAGCTAGAAAAGCAGGGTGTTCACTCACACTCTAACTTGTCCCAGTGGGAGAAATCATAGGCAGTGAAGATCCCCCGTGGCAGTAGTTGTGTGACTTTGGGAGAAGGGTAATGTGGGTAAAGTCAAATTGCTCCCTTTACCCCCTTTAATGCATCCAAAATCACTTTTTTTGCTCCAGTGATGGGTTGGAACGTCTCCTCTGGAGACCTGGACTTCTACATGGGCTAACTTGTCCATGGGTGATTGTCTATGACAGCATTTTCAAGGACTCCTTCCTTGATCACAGTGGAGAGGGGCTGAAGCTGGTTCACAGGCAACAACTGGGACAGAATTCTTAATTTCAAATTATATGTGACGAACGCCAAGAACACTCAAGACAATATTGATGAGGGATATGACAGCATATTTTGGTGTTAATTGAAGGAACTGAATAAAATTTTGATTTAAAAAAAATGCCTACAGATATATTGAACAATAAATGTGTGGCTGCAGAGGCGGCATTACAGACTCTGAGAAAAAAATGGATCATTCAGTAAAGGTGAAGGGAAAATAATGATTACGTGTGGAAAAATATTGACTGTCAAAGATCTAATTATGAAAGAAGCCCTCACAAGTTTAATAGAAAATATAGTAAAATGCCTCAAGACCCTTAGTTAAGGATATATTTCTCAATCAAATTCCCAAGTTATCATATTATAAATGAAAATAATACTATAAAAGAATAATTCAATAAATACCTTTATTTTCTGGACAGTAAACAATATCATTAAAATTGGAATGCTGCACCCAGACAAGCACAAGTTATACAGTCAGTGAATTGTGTGCTGGATCACACTCACAGCTGACAATAAGAGATTGTTGTTAAATGTTTAGGAACTTTTGAGGGCCAGTTTTAAACAGAGTTATTATTAAAATTCAATTATATAAGATATTATATATTATATCTAATTGACTATATATATTCAATTATATTAAATATTATCAATTATATAATAAAAGAAATATACTCAAAACTCATTACTTTTTAGTTACTCTGTTAAATTTACTATACTTATAAAGTTATTTACATCTTTTATATCTGAGTCACGGGAACACTATATATTGGTGTAATATTACAAATCTCTCCCCCTCCCAATACTGTACTAACTGATAAAATGTTAATTGTTTTTAATCCACTGTGGTCAGAGTTTTTATACAACTAAAACTGGCAAACACTACAAATAAATTCTTCTGCCACCAGAGAGCTGGTTAGTAAACAGTTACTAACCTACCCTGGATGTACTTGAGAATAGAGTCCATCTGGAATATGTAAATTGTAATCAATTCAATAAAAAAGCAAACAACTTAATGTAAAGTGAAAAAATATGTACAGAGAATTCATAGATAAGTAGATTAGAATACCCCAGAAGCTTTTATTTTGATGAAGTCCCATTTGTTTATTCTTTCCTTTACATCTCTTGCTCTAGGGGACATATCAGTGAAAATATTGCTTCATGGAATATCTGAGAGTTTCCTGTCTATGTTCTCCTCTAGGACTTTTATGGTGTCACAACTTATATTTAAGTCTTTTATCCATCTTGAGTTTATTTTTGTGTATGGTGTAAGTTGATGGTTAAGTTTTAATTTTTTGCATGTAGCTGTCCAGATCTCCCAACACCATTTATTAAAGAGGGTATTTTTACTCCATTTTATGTTTCTTCCCCCTTAGTCAAATATTAATTGGCCATAAAAACATAGGTTTATTTCTGGGCTTTTTATTCTGTTCCATTGCTCTATGTGTCTGTTCTTATGCAAGTACCAGCCTATTTTGATTACAGTGGCTTTGAAGTATAGTTTGATATCAGATATTGTGATCCCTCCTACTTTGTTCTTCTTTCTCAAAATTGCTGCAGCTATTCAGGGTCATTTATGGTTCCATATACATTTTTGAAAAATTTATACTAAGTGAAATAAGCCAGGTGGTGAAAGACAAATACCATATGATTGCTTTATGAGTGGAATCTAATCAACAAAACAAACAAGCAAGCAAAATGTAACTAGAAACATTGAAATAAAAAGCAAACTGACAGTAACCAGAGGAGACGGGGGAGGAGATAACAGGGGGGAAAAATAGAAGTGTCGTCAAGGAATATATATAAAGGGCACATGAACAAAGCCATAAGGGGGTGGGATTGAGGGTGAAAAGTGGAGATGGGTGGGGTGGGGAGAGTAGTAGGGGCCAATGGAGAAAACTGTATTTGAACAGCAATAAAAGTTGTTTTTAAATGCCCCATAAAGATATTATTATAAATGTTAAATATGAATATTAATCATGGAAAAGTAAATTAAAAAACTCTAAGACAATTTGGTATCCATGATATTAAGAAAATTAAGATTATAGATAATCATGGGAATTATATGGAAAAATAGAAGATATCATATACTTTTGCTTGTGGCAACAGTAATACAAATATTTGGAAAGCAATTTGTCAATATTTAAAATGTTTTGAATAAACACTCAGCAAAATGGGAATAAATGGGGCATTCCTCAACGTAATAAAGGCCATATATGAAAAACCTACAGCCAACATCATATTCAACGGGCAAAAACTAAAAGCTTTCCCACTAAGATCGGGAACACGACAAGAATGTCCGCTTTCACCGCTTCTTTTCAACATCGTATTGGAAGTCCTAGCCACAGCAGTCAGACAAGAAAAAGAGATAAAAGGCATCCAAATAGGAAAGGAGGAAGTAAAGCTATCATTGTCTGCAGATGGCATGATAGTATACATAGAAAACCCTGTAGACTCCACCAAAATCTACTCAACCTAATAAGTGAATATGGCAAAACAGCAAGATAGAAAGTCAATATTCAGAAATCAAAGGCATTTTTGTACACCAGCAATGAAATAGAAGAAGAAATCAGAAAAAAAAAAACCATTTGATATAGCAAGAAGAAAAATAAAGTACCTAGGAATAAATTTAACGAAGGAGGTAAAAGACCTGTATGCAGAAAACTATACAACATTGAAGAAAGAAATTAAGGAAGACACAAATAAATGGAAGCATATACTGTGCTCATGGATTGGAAGAATTAATATTATCAAAATGTCCATACTACCCAAAGCAATTTATATATTCAATACAATCCCCATTAAGATACCAATGACGTATTTCACAGAAATAGAACAGATATTTCAAAAATTTATATGGAACCATAAACGACTCTGAATAGCTGCAGCAATTTTGAGAAAAAAACAAAGTAGGAGGGATCACAATACTGGACATCAAACTCTACTACAAAGCCACTATACTCAGAACAATCTGGTACTGGCACAAGAACATACCCATAGACCAGTGGAACAGAATAGAAAGCCGAGATATAAGCCCAGGTCTATGTGGCCATCTAATATTTGACAAAGGGGGCAGAAGCATAAAATGGAGCAATAACAGCCTCTTCAACAAATGCTGTTGGGAGAGCTGGACAGCTACATGCAAAAAATTGAAATTGGATCATCAGCTGACACCATACACAAAAATAAACTCAAGATGGATAAAAGACTTAAATATAAGTCGCAACACCATATAAGTCCTAGAGGAGAACATTGGCAGGAAACTCTCAGATATCCCACATAGCAATTTTTTCACTGATATGTCTCCTAAAGCAAGGGACATAAAGGAAAGAATAAATAAGTGGGACCTCATCAAAATAAGAAGCTTCTGCTCAGCTAAAGA